TATACACATGCAGGCAATACACTCATACACATAAAATATAAATAGAATATTTTTTAAAAGCCACTTAAGGGATAGGTTTATTTTGGTTCAGGTTCCAAGAGGTAGTCCACCATAGCGGGGAAGTCTGGTGGCAGGGCTAGTCACAGTGCATCTTCAGTCAAGAGGCAAAGAGCTTTGATTGCTCTGGTTTGGCTAACATTCTCCTTTTTATGCATTAGGACCCAAGTCTGAGGGATAGTGCTACCACTTTTAGGGTGGGTCTTCCCATGTTTTAAGGCTAGCGCAGTCTAATTCCTTACAGGTGTATCTGGAGGCTCATCTCCTAGGTGATTCCAGATCCTGTCAAATTGGCGATCAATACGAACGAACCATCACACCACCCTAGTCAAAGTCCTGTGTCTACCTAGAATATTGCCATAGCCCCACAGACCCATAATCTCAACAAAAGTTTCAATTGGATATCTACAACATTCTTATGTTTGAATCTTAAGATCATTGATCATTTAAGTGTGAGCTGGGGGAACTAAGGGAAAACTTTGAAAATAACCATAAAATGAAAACTGGAGTGACAGGAGGTGCTTGAATCATAGAACGAGGAAGGACATGGAGCTAGCAGAGGCAGTGGTGTAAACTGCAGCTTCTGAAGGAGAAAGCTTATCTTTTTCTCAGGACTGAAAGCACTGAGCAACCTTGCTCACATGAAAACACAGCAGTAGGCCTTAGAAACCACTCAGTCCTCTGAACTCTTGAGTTTAGGCACCAAATCAATGCTTTCATCAAATCTGTTTTGTTTTGTTTTGTTTTTTTTAAAGGCAGGATTTCATTATGTAGCACTGGCTGGCCTGGAACTCTTGATATGGAGACCAGGCTGACCTTAAACTTAACAGAGATCCACCTGCCTCTACCTCCCAAGTGCTGGGATTAAAGACATGTGCCACCACGTGGCTTCAAAATTTATTTTTAATACACCAATCAGCTGACATTTCATTTCTCTACCAATTTCATTGAGGAAATGTAACTGGGAACTCTTTGGTTAGTCTTCTATATTGTGATAATGGAACACCACAGACTGGTTGATTAACAAACTGAAGAGGATTGGATGTAACTTAGTGGTAGACTGCCTAGCATATACAAAACTCTGGGTTCAGTCCCTAGCAACACACACACACACACACACACACACACACACACACACACACACACGGGGAGGGGTTAATAGCTCTGCTTGGTGGGACATGCATACAGTCCCTTTAGCCCAGAATTTCAAGGCCAGGCTGGGCAACATAGTAAGACCTCATCTTTCTTTAAAAAAAATGTTGGGCAGGACTGGAGAGATGGCTCAGCGGTTAAGAACACTGGCTGTTCTTGAAGACCTGGGTTCGAATCCAGCACCCACATGGCAGCTAACAACGGTCCATAACTCCAGTTCCAGGGATCTGACAGCCTCTTCTGTCCTCTGCAGGCATTGCATGACACGGGTGCACTTACCTACATGCAGGCAATACATGCATATGCATAAAAAGAAAAAAAATATCTATATACAAATGTTGGCCTGGAGAGATAGCTCAGTGGTTAAGAGTACTGGTTGCTCTTGCAGATGACTGAGGTTTGGAGCTCAGCACCCACAAGGCGGCTAACAACCATCTGGAACTCCAGTTCCAGATGATTTGACACCCACTTCTGGTCTCCCAGGCATTGTACATGTGGTACACCTACACACATGCAGGTAAAACACACATACATTAAAAAAAATTTTTTTTAAAGTTTAGCTGGGCCTGGTGGTACACACCTTTAATCCCAGCATTCAGAGGCAGGTTGGTGTCTGTGTGTCTGAGACCCATCTGGTCCATATTGTGAGTTCAAGGCTATCCAGGGCTACTATATAGTGCTGGGACTAAAGGTGTGAGCTACCCACACCGGGCTTGTTGGGCTTTAAAATTTTTTTCTAAGTAACATACCTGAGTAAGTGCTGGCAGAGAAGAGGGTCAATTGATTGCAAGTCTGGAGACTGACAGATGAACGCACAGGGTCCTTAAGGTGCCAGTGCTTATTAAACTGGTCCTGTCTGTGAGCTAAAGCTCTTTTACTTTCTATTAATCAAGACGGTCACTCCAGCATCATTTCACTGATGCAAGGAAAGGTCAGAGCAAGTTATGCCCAAGCGTTCTTAGCTTTTTAAGGGAGAGCGGAGACGCGATCCAGAGTAGTGGGACACTTGCCTACAAGAAGGCAGAAAGTTCACGGAATTAAAAAAATGAATTTTACATTAATTTATGGGGGCGGGTAAACACCATGGTATACATGTGGAGGTCAGAGGACAACTTGTGGAAGTGGGCCCCTTCCTTCCTCTTGTGGTACCTGGGGATTGAACTCAGGTTGTCTGGCTTGGTGGCATCTCAGTGAGCCCTCTCTCCAGCCCAGTTCAGGGAAGACAGAAGGCAAAGAAAGAATTAAGTGTATAGGGAGATAAAGAGGGCCACAGTTTTCAAAGAGAAGAGTTAACTAGAGAAAACAAGGCTTAACAGGTGTGGTGATGTCAGTTAACGCATTTTCACTGGTTTTGTTACCTTTTCCAGGAACAGCCTGCAGGAGGTTGGATACATCTAGAGGTGCAATTTACCCTTGACACTGGAGCAGCCTGTTTGCAGACAGAAGAGCTGACAGTGCAATCAGGAAGAGCTGCATTGTTAACGGTATGGTCAGAGTGAGACTTCTAAATCACTGATTTCAGAGCAAAGGATTCTGAACTTGAAATTCAAAGCACCACAGGCTGTCACTGTAGTGGAGAAAAAGCAACATCCCTGTGTACTCACCAGGAGCTCAAATTGATTTCCCACAAATTTAAAGGTGACCTTTCTGGTTTCATCACTCCCAATTTTTTTGTGCCTTCAAACTCCCAGATTCTAAATATTTGAAGTCTTTTTACCTTAATACAAATGACAAACACTGATTACTGGATTAATGGTGAAGGTGAATCTTTGGGTAGGGGCAAACTTGGGCAGCCATTTCAAGATGAAGTTATCAAATATGGAAACACCATCATTAAACTTTTCATTGAATAGTGTTTCACTGTACAAAAATAATTTGTATTTTCTTTTTGTTTGGATTTTATATATGAGTGTTTTGGCTGCATTGTATATCGTGTACCATGTGCATGCCTAATGCCTGTAGAAGCCAGAGGGTGTCAGATCCCTGGAACTGGAATTAAGGACCAGTGTTAACTGCCACGTGGGTGCTAGGAACCTGACACAGGTCCTCTCCAAGAGCAGCCAGTGTGTTTAACCTCTGAGCGAGCTCTCCAGTTCCTTTCTGATTTTTAAAATGACACTGTGTTCCCCCACATGCCACAGTAACATGCGTGGAGGTCAGAGGACAACTTGCAGGAGTTAGTGCTCTCCTCCTCCCATGTGGGTCCTGGGGATCAAACTCAGGTCATCAGGCTTAGCAGTGAGCACCTTTACCAACTGAGCCATCTCACGAGCTGCATTTTCTGACCTTGTATTTTTCTGAGGCAGTATGTAACTCTGACTGGCCTGGAGCTATGAAGACCAGGCTGGCCTCAAATTCAGAGATCTACCTGCCTCTGCCTCCCGAGTATGGAGACTAAAGGCATATGCCTTAGGTGTATGCCTATTTCTGACTTAAAAAAAAAAAAAGGCATTAACACGAAAGAACAAGTCCTTTTGTTTTTTTTCTCTCTCTCCATCTTTAGAAAATTCTTTGATGATTCAGGCTTCTGAGAGAGCCAGGATGTTTAATACGATGCTGGGATCTTAGCTACACTGAAATCGGTATTTAAGAACATTCCAAGCTATTTTTAACTGTATCCATGTGTGAATGTAGGGGAGGTGTGTGTGTGTGCGGGAGGCCAGAGCTCTCGGAGTTAGAGCTGGTTGTGAGATCCCTGACACGGGTGCTGGGAACCAAACTCGGGTCTTCCGCACCGGCAGTATGCACTCAACCGCTGAACCATCTCTCCAGTCCCAGTCAAAATCTATTTCAACTCCTAAATTCCTTAGAGTTCAGTTACAGACTAACTGAAATCAGCATCTTTCTACTTGAAGTAAAAAGGTCTTCCAGTGCAGTTACTTTAGAAGGTACTTCTATTTATGCAACAATGACACTTCACAAATAGTCCAGCATTTTTAACAACGAATTAATGAGAATACAAAAACATACCGGTCTTTCTTCCATTCTTTTGTGGCCCCGGGGATGGAACATAGCCTTGGACGTGCCAGGAAAGTGCTCTCCTCATCCGCTCCTATCTCCAGCCTCCCTTTCCTCTAAGCAGCCATAAACACGTGGCCTTCCTCATGCCTCAGCCGGGGACTACAGGCCAGCACTTCTGTTCTTAAGCATAAATCATTTTCCATCTTCTACTCAAATGAACTATAATGTGCAATCCCAGAGGCTAGACTTGAAAATCAATATTCAGACTAAACTGCTTGAATAAATCCAAACTTTTTCAAACCAAGTGTTGGTCACACATACTGGCTATCACCCAGACTATTTTTTTTAAACATATAGGGCAGTACCTACTTTCATAATGTGAGAAATTAAATGAAAAGGCCCTTGGGGGAAAATGCAGAATGTAGTCTCTATAAACCAGAACCACCTGTTCTGAGTCTACTTCTCTAACATTCTAAACTTCAAAGACGGGAGTTTTAAAAAGTCCAACACATCAAACGCATACTTAGACATCTAGATGTGTAAGAGATCAGCTCACACAGGTTTGACTCATCTTTGAACTTAAGATTTTGAAGCCAATTATTCAGAGATCCATCCACTAACCCATAATGCATCTGTTAATCCACTGTACAAATTAACCACATAACAGTCAGATGATTCTAATCTCACTCCAACAGAAGCAGCAGTACCATTACAAACACTTTAGTGATTAGATAACCAAGGTAACAGCACAGAGTGAGCACCTTTCCATCCTTATTCTATAAACCTGCTCTTCGTTTATAGACAGTGAGGAAAAAGGTATCGCAACCAAATATGGGAAACTGCTTTCTCTTTATTTAGACCTTAGGGGGAGAAGAAAAGGAACTTTGGTCACATAGTACCTTAAAAAATCCAGTTTTACATATTTTCTAAATATACAGGACTAAATGATCAGAGAAATAATTTCTTCTGTAAAAACTGGCCAAATTTTATCAAAACTTTAACATACAATGAAATTAGTTATATAAGGACTTGGGTTCGTAACATTCTGAATAGGACAGCTGAACCCCATCCCAACAGGTGCCAGCGCTGTTTGTACTTGCTTGTGTGCTGCTTTGGTCCAGAAGGGAAGAGCTGAGTTAGTAAAGCAAGTATCTGGTCTTTTGTCAACAATAATTTAGACTGTGATTGGCAGCAGAAATATCCATGATGAAAAGTCCTACTTTAACCAAGTGTAATCAAGGAACATTTCTCACAAACATGTCACAGTATCAAATAAAATTTTAGAAGAGAAAAATAGGAACAAACCAAAGATAAAAGATGGAAGCTACCACAAACAAAGTAATTGTTCTCCCTCCCACAATGCATCTGAAGGGGTAAAAAGGTGGTCGGGGCTGCCGATGCCAATATGGAAGGAGGCAGAGTACTGCGTTTATTTCTTATTTATACAACTCTTACTCTTTACAAAATGGTTATAGTCATGCCCATAAAAGTGTAACCCAAGGCATTTGAAAGCAAACACTCTTTGTAGTTATTTAAAAGGGCCTTTTTAAAAATTATAATACAAAGGTCTGTGCTCGATAAGCAGTCCTCCACTGTGCATTATAACAGTAAGGCTTCCTTTTAATACAAAGACCAGGTGTCTAGGAGTTAGGAACCACTGGATTTGACAAACATCATTTTATAATTGCTTTTTGCATCTTTTTTGTTCTTCGGATCTCCCACTTCATCAGGGTGCCCGGTAGCTTGCAGCTCTTCGGCAGACTCTTCCTTTTCAGACTCGGAATCGCTGTCAGAGTCATCTGGACTCTCAGGATCAGGCGAATCGTCATCATCATCATCATCTCCAGCCACGTCACCTTCCCCATCGTGATCTTCCACCTAAAACACGTATCAAAAGGCCTCTTCAGAAAACCAGCACCGTCAGCCAGTCCCCAAACTGTAACGGTGTTAAATCTGTCAGTCTTAAGAGCCCACTTTACATTAGAGCAGTACTTCAGAACTATTCAAACTATGGCCAAGGGGACTGGGGACAGAACTTCCAGATTCTAAAAGCTTCTTAAGACCATTCTCCATGCATCTTCCTCAGCTTGAAATCACCATATTTCACTTTCCTCAAACAGCATCAGTCAGTAAACTAATCACTGTGCCAGCTTATATTGAGAGAGATCACCTAGGAAGCAGGGGAGAAAGAAACTGCCTAAGCTAGTGCTTAAAAAATATTTTATTTACTATTTTTAAAAAAGTTTATGTGCATGAGTGAATTGCCTGCATATACGTAAGTGCACTTGTGCTGTGCAGTGCCCAAGGAGGTCAGAAGAGGGCCATCGATCTCCTGGAACTGGAACTACAGACGGTTGTTAGCAGCCATGCGGGTGCTGGGAACTGAATGTGGCAGTCCGTGTTCTTAACCGCTGAGCCATCTCTCCAGCATGAAATATTTTACCTACCTTGTAAGCATGTTATTCATGTCTATTAAAGATGTACCCTAAGATTAAGCAGAATTGGGGCTGGAGAGATGGCTCACTGGTTAAGAACACTGGCTACTCTTGCAGATGACCCAGGTTGGGTTCCCAGCACACATGGTGGCTAAAAATCATCTGTAACTCCAGTTCCAGGGGATTCAGTGCACTTGTCTGGTCTCTTAGGGCACTGCATGCACGTGGTGCACTTATATAAACACAGGCAAAACACTCATACACATAAAAATAAACAAGATTTAGCAGAATTTACACTACGTCAATCTTAGAAAACTCATTTTCAAATCCTTTAGAACAACTTTTCTGATCATCTAGTGACACAGATGGGCAATAAGACTATGACCTAAATGATTATCAAACTGAAATTACTGTCCCAATCAATGAAAACAAGTTAGTTACTACCTCACTGAAGCCAAGTCCACAATGCCGTCGGTATCTTCCTGATAGTTTACTGTCCATACTTTGCTGATACTGAGACTCCAGTTCCTCATTAATCTTCTTGTCTTCTTCCCCTGCATGTCCATTGTACTTTGGTTATGTTTAGTCAAATTAATAAAAACATTTGATTACACAAAAAGCCCATAATACAGATGCTATTATATTCAGGGCTGAATTCTCTTAATTGTGACTAATATTACAATGAATTCTGTGGATAGTTTCTATACCATAGGTGGTTACCTAGCAAACAATAAAATAACCAAAATATGTATTTATGATTACCTTTTTAGTAACTAACCCTCTTAAGTGTTTAAGGACTGTTTTCTCGAAGTCACCTAAAAAACTTCCAACAAACAAGATCATGTTTTTGAGGAGAGACTGTAACAGTGTGGGCAGTTCTGGTCCAAAGATACATAAAGTGACCTTGTAGTGGTCCTCTTCTATGCCTCTCCTAGGCATACTGAAGCAAATAAACTAAAAAATAACTACTTAATCACGCAGTATTTGTATATTTACATATATCCAGTATGCACATTAGAACACTGAACAACCAGCTATGGAGGAAGTATTACCAACACCAGCAAAGGTTCTTGGGATGGCACTTTAATCTATGAGAGGGCAATTCAGGTTTCAATCACAAACGTTGGTGCTTTGGATTATTTTTATTCATAGGCTCTTGATTTTTATTATTTATTACTGAGCACACAGTGATGGATTTCAATATGGCATTTTCAGACATGTCATTTTACTTTGTTAAAACTCAATTTTTTTTTTTTTTTTTGAAACAGGGTCAGTCCCTGTAGCCCCAGCTAGCCTGGAGTTAGACCAGGCTGGCCTCCAACTAACAGAGATCCACCTGCTTCTGCCTCCCAAGTGTTGGGATTAAAGGTGTGTACCACTACACCCAGCCAAAACTCAATTTTCAAATAAGAAATTATGTTAGAATGCACTCCCATTCTGCAAAGCTGATGTTTTGCCTTACAGGATAATGCAAATCATGTGAAATAATTATTTAACACCAGAAAAACAAGAGAACAATTAATTTCTAAAATGCACTACATAAGATAGTAAAGCTAAATAATTTAAACATTTTGCTACATTTAATTTAGATCATTATGCTGTTAATTAGTAACATCCAAGATTAATTACTTTCTAGCAGACTGAATTAAAATCCAATTCATTTTCAGTTTTTATTAAAAAGTTTTTCCTTTATTTTTTCTTTTCTGGTGCTGGGAACCCAGGGACTTGCACATGCTGCACAAGTGTTTTACCATGAAATCTATTTCTAGTCTCCCCTAGAATCTTCTAATTAACAGAACTGAGTAAGCACAGAACATCTCTAGAGATGTATGGCTATTTCACACACAGACTTAGCTCTGTTTCAATCACGCTTTACTTTCTTACCTGTTCGGAAGTGAGATGTTGATTTGTGATCTCCTATAACGAGCCGACCAGTGTGTTCTTTCTATAAAAAGGTAAAAATGTATTAAAACTGAGATCACTAATTTAATGTAATTAACGGGATTCTACTACCCGGTAGTGGAAATTACCCCAGGCTTCTGGAATATCCTGGAGACAGAAGAATAATCAAGATCACCGCCTCTATAGAACTTACATCCTAGGAAGGGAGGGATTAGAAAGGGATATAGGAATGCAATCACTAAGGAAGTGATGGGATGCCTGCAGGTAGTTAGTGCCACTGAGACAATACAGAGCACAGTAAGAGGAGAAAAGGAGACAAAAAGGGCACAGATTGGGCTGGAATTTCCCTCCTCCCTTTCAAAAAGTCTCTCACTGTGTAGCCCTGGGTGGCCTAGAACTCCCTATGTAGACCAGGCTGGCCTTGAAGGCATGTGCGACCTGTCCCCATTGGAATGGTTAAATAGCAAGTTCTAAGCCAGCTGGGGCTACAGGGAGACCCTGTCTCAAACTACAGCAACAACAACAAAAACCCCAAAACAAAAAAATTTAGTTTGTAGGAAGACCATTGGGACAATGATATGAAAGTAAGTTTACTTGTTTACAACGTTTAGCAATCACTGTAGCTGTCTGTAAAACTAAACTGCTAAGAAAAAGAAAGGTTTTCAGTATTTTCCTAGAACTTGTACATTATACCTTCTATGGTTTTATTAAATTGAGAAACATTTTAAAATATCTGCAAGCATCTTTAAAATCAGGTGTCTGATAAAGGCTATTCTTTGGACTACTATTTTAAGGGCTGGAGAGAGCTATGAAATACTGACTTCTGATTTGGACAAAGGCTTCTGATAATGTGCCTAGAAATGCCTTCCATGAAAACCATCACGCAGGCAGCAAACACAAACTTCCAGGTTTCCTTTCCTCAAATCAAATTTTTCTCCATAAAGTCTCTAACCATACTGTCAAAGGTACAGAGGAGGCCTAGAATTGGTTCAGAAATAATGTAAATTCAAATATTTCCCAAAGCCAAAAATAAATCACATAGAAGAAAATGTGACCCGCGGGCACCCAGTCCTTCCTTAGTATACAAACCCAGTACTGTTTCAAAGAGGAAAATGCAGAACATCCAATGCTCACCTTCCCCGCGCCCATGAGCCGCAAGAACTTTTGTTTCCTCTCTTCGTTGCCCAAGTCTGCTGCCTCCCAATTGCTAGATCCAAGCTGGAAGAGAAGGTAGCTGATAAATTTTTTGCATAAAAACAGATTTGAAAAATATAGTTTTTTCTGTCCATTTTAACTAAGCAGGACTCATGGTTCTCTCAGGAAGTTAACCAAATGCATCACATTGAGTTCAAACACTCTTTTCTACCCTTTACTTAGTATCAGAACCCTTTACTTCTCTTACAGTGGAGTTTTTTTTTCAATATTTTTTTTTATTTTATGTGTATGTGTGTATTGCCTGCACATACGTGGGTGCACCCGTGTTGTGCAATGCCTCGGAGATCAGAAGAGGGCTTCGGATTTCCCCCGGGAACTTGAATTAAGGGGTTCATAGCCACCATGTGGGTGCTGGGAATCGAACCCGGGTCCTCTGTAAGAGCAGTCAGTGCTCTTAATCGCTGAGCCATCTCTCCAGCCCTCAGAGTTCTGTTTTTAAAGTTTGCAAATATCAGAATCACCCCAAAGGCTTACATTGTTATTTATATACTCCTGAATTTTGGATTCACTGGATCTTGTGCTCCAGGGTTTGAACTTCTAAAATTCCAAGTGATGTTGCACTACACGTTGACAGCTATTGTGTGAGCTCTGAAGGGGCCGAGAGAGCCCAATACTGGAAACTGCTAAGACTGTTAACTGAAACATGCTGGCTTTTGGCCAGTAAGATGGCTAAGCTAAAAACGGAGCTTGCTACCAAGCATGACTGACCTAAGCTTGATTTGATCCCTGGAACCCACATGGTGGAAGGATTGAGAACTGACTCCCACAAGCTGTCCTTTTCTTCCACATATGTGACGTGGCACAGTTTTGCTCACATGTACACGCACACACACACATACAATGTAATAAAAAATATAAGGCCGGGTGTGGTGGCACATGCCTTTAATCCCAGCCCTTGGGAGGCAGAGGCCGGTGGATCTCTGCGAGTTCAAGGCCAGCCTGGTCTACATAAGTGATTTCCAGGACAGCTGGGGCTACAAGGAGACCCTGTCTCAAAAGACCAAAAAAAAAAAAAAAATTTTTTTTTGAGAAATTTTAATTATTAGGACTGAAATGTCATATTTTTAGTGTTTCTTAAAGGGCTCCCGAAGAAAAGAAGAAAATTCCTTCCTTTCTTTTTTGGTGTGGGAAAGCATCACGTTTGTTAAGGACAACAGTGAACCCTCTGAACAAGGGGAAAGGCTTCTGTATCCTCTCCCTACACTATCAATGATCAGGGTACAGGCAGTCCACAATCACTTTCAAATACGGGGGAATTTATTTCTTTTTAAAGAAAGTAAAATTCATTGTATCTTTCAATTAACAATGGTTCACTGAACCATTTTGCCAAATTATTATAAAATCCTAGTAACATACCTTTCTCTACATCTTGAAACAAGTACAAGATTTCATTATAAACCATCAGTCACTTCCAACCATACGAAAAATAAGAAAACAAAATAAGGAAAGACTTTTCTCATTGTACTGTGGCCTAAGTACAATTACATTGTCAAAATGTCAAGAAAACCTCACATCTCTATTCAGAATTTCTAATTTTCCACCCATAATGGCAAAGAGAAGAGACTGACAGAAGGCATTTCACAATCAGGATACAAAAAAAAAACAAAACAAAAAAACCAGCAAGCAAAAAAGTATAGCACTACGACTAAAGATGAGGATGGAATTCTGTGCGCTTGCATTATAAAACACCAGTGAGCTCTGTCCAAGCCAAGAACCAACCCATGGAGACAAAAGCAGAAAGACGGAAGACAGCACGGCGCTCCGCTCCGGGCCCTCAGCAGGAAGGGCTGCCATGCGGTGAGGACTGGCCCAGCTCATTTCTGTGAAAGGAGGTTTGACTTTTACTTTACCCTTCATTATAGCTGTTCAACAAAATTTACTTGATTTGTAAGTGGACACAGGCTGAAGGCAGCATGTATCCAAGGGTGACGAAAAGGACAGCAATGGCACAGAAACGAAGACAGTCACGGGGTTGGTCATTCTAACTGAGCTAATACAAAAATGAATGTGTTTTGCCATTATGGAGCAAAGGTAACAAACCTTTCTCAAACACAAAATTCTAAGTAATCAAAGTTCTTGACCCAAGTATTACATTTTGATTATGCAAATCCAAGGAGTAGAAGGAATGAAAAAGCTAAAATCCATTAGAAATAGATATGTTCCAAGTTCACACGTGACAGTTGATGAGCAATTAGCTGTATTCACAGATACTAACTTTTTGGGTATACAGACTTTTCACTGTACAGTAGAAATCTGGATTTGTTACCGTTAAATTTACATTAAATTCTTAATAGTAATTTCTATTTTACCCTTTTGTTCTTCTGAAAAGGATTCATAAAGACTAGAATAATATAAAAACCAATGAGAGCTTCTTCTGGGCATATGGGGTTAAAACATTTGCACACACCAGACCAAAGTGCAGTTCTTTTAAATTCTACTTAGTGGAGGGGAGTATATGTTCTCATAATTTTGGCTACCTAAGTTACAAATCTCTACTCCCTTCCATGTGAGTACCCAGATCTTTTTATAGGTCAATTAGTCTTAATTGTTTCTAGCTCAATATGATATTAAAGTATGAGTGCCTCATTCTTATTATTATTAAATTATTTGCTCTGTGAGCCAAGACCTGACATTTAACTTGGTCTGTCTTAGGCAGACTGTGTGTGGTGATGTGTACCTACAATCCCAGATAGCAGAGGTAGCAGCATCCTGAGTCTGAGGCTATCTTGGGGCTACATAACAAGTTAAGAACCAGCCTGAGCTACGTAGTAGGCCCTGTGCCAAAAATCCAAGGGCAGCACAGCGGTAAAGCACTTGCATGTACAAAACCCCAAACAACTTTCCCGCAAAAAAAAACCCACCACCACCAACAAAAAGTAACTGTCTTAATAAAGCACGTAAGAGCTGTATACAAGTTGGGCATCTGTAGCTTGAAAACCTGAAAAGCTCTGAATCCAAAATTTGAGTGTCAACATGGGACAAATCCCTCACCTGACCTCACTTGGTAAGTCAATTAAGTGGAATGCCCATCCAAAATACTGTACAAAGTTACCTCCAGGCATGTTTGTGTATGAAACTGGTAACTCCCCCATTTACACTTGGATACGACCCTTAAGATAGCTCATTATGTATATGAAAATATTTCAAAATCCAACAAATTCTGAAACCAGAAACACTACTACTTGTTCCCAGCATAAGGGCTTCTCCACCTGGGTGTTTTATAAAAGTAATTTTTCGCCTCCATTCTACAGCTCCTCACACCAGTCCAATAAACAAACTAACAAATAAAGTACATCAAGGCTCAGAGAGGCCAGTTACCTCTTCCATACTCTGGCTAAAATCTCTGCTATTTTTCTTAGCATATCACACAGGACCAAATAGATAGGGTTCTTTCTATAAGTTACTACAGCAGCAAAATGGCAAAAATTAAATTAAAAACAAATCTATCTAAAATCCAACTTTTCTGATTTTCTCTATTAAAACAGCAAACACAGCTGGGGCTATAGCTCAGTGTAGGGTGTACTTATACACAAGGCTCTGGTTTCAGCATCAATACACATACACACACCTGCAGAAAGACAGCAGCAAATATCTTCACAGTGTTTTTGTCTAAGTAACCCTATCTTCTACAATCTCTAATCCTATTTTTTAAAAGCAGTCTTTTTGGTTCTTCCCTTCCAAAGTGCTACATTCTTTTATTTTTATTTAAAAATTTTTTTAGAGTTATGGACAGTTGTTAGCTGCCATGTGGGTGATGGGATTTGAACCCAGGTCTTCTGCAAGAATAGCCAGTGCTCTTAACCACTGAGCCATGTCTCCAGGCCCCAAAGTGCTACATTCTGAAAGACACATGGTGCCTGACACATTAGTGATTCTTTACCAGTTACTAAAAAATGAACCTCCACTGTTAACACAGCTCTCATTTCTCTGCTCCAACCAAACCAATGGAACTCCATTAAGTTTCCTTTATTATTCTTTCCTATAAAATTGCCATCAAGCTTCCTCCTTATATACATATCCCAGTGCCTATATGAGTTTCCTTCATCATTTTTCTAGCATTATATTCTGTCATTTAATTCTTTAAAAAAAATTATTGAGAATTTCATACACGTATATAAGGTGTTTTGATCAAATCCATGCCCACTCCCTCCCCTCCAACTCCTTCCATATCTCCCTATCACTTTTTTCTGATAACTAACTTCATGTACTCTTTCTTTTTTTTTTTAGGACAGGGCTTTTTGCTACTCTAACAATTCCCCCTTTGAAGAGGTAACCCTAAAATCTTTTAAAGATTAAAGATCCCAAATACTTTTGACATTTTTTGCCTTTGGATCAGAGTATGTTGCTAAGAGGCCCAAGGACTTTTAGCCAAGAAACTGGCTACTTTTCTTTGGGGTCTTTTTACCCTAACTGCCTAGCCAATTCCTACCTCCTATTCTTATCACACCATCCTCTGAAGAGGTTACCCAACTTGCCGATAGGGAATTGGGATGCAGACCGCTCTGGCATCTTCCATGCTGAACAGGGATGCAGGGTGAGGCAATTGGGAGTACCCCTTCAGTAGGTCTATCTAAAAGACTCCCAAATTGCATAACTCTTAATCTGTAGGGGGAAAAGAAAGTCTTTCACTGGTGAATAGATGTGAAGGCGAAGTAAAGGCAAGAGTAATTAGCATTACAAGTTCTAGACAGGGAACTAGAAAAAAAGAACAGGGCAAATTCAAATGTTCCTATGAGTCTACTGGAATTCCTCGTCTGTTATTTCTTTCAAAAGTATTTTGTTGCTCCCAAGTGTATGTAAGGTCACTGGACAAAAGAATCTAATCTTTTATATCCAGTGGATACTAAGGTAGTTGATTTCTTTTTTTTTTTTAAAGACAGGGTCTCCCAGTAGCCCCAGCTGACCTGGAACTAACTATGTAAATCAGCCTGGCCTTGACCTCACAGAGATCCCCCTGCCTGTCTCCCGGGTGCTGGGATTAAAGGAGTGCACTACCACGCCCAGCCAGTTAGTTGATTTTCTACAATTGCAAAGTACATTTAAAAAATATGGATGAGTTAAAAAATAATTTCCAAGGCTGGGTGTGGGTGGCACACCCCTTTAGTCCCAGCACTGGGGAAGCAGAGGCAGGTGGATCTCTGTTAGTTTGAGGCCAGCCTGGTAAACATAACGAGTTCCAGGTAAGTCAGGACTAAATGGTGAGATCCTGTCTCAAAAAAAGAAAAAAAAAACAAACCCCAAAACCCCCCAAAACAATGAAAACAAAACAAACTTCCAAGTAGTAAAAATAATAAAAATATATGGGAGAAATTGACTACAAAAATCACTGTTGAGGGATTGGTAACTGTATCACAACATTAGTAACAATAATTTTTTTTGTTGTTGTTGGTCTTTTTGAGACAGGGTCTCCCTGTAGCCCCAGCTGTCCTGGAACTCATTATGTAGACCAG